TTTTGCTACAAGTGGATTTCGGTAGGGTGCTGGCGAGCGAGCAGACGTGATTATGCTCGAACAGTGGTTTCGCGGAGGTATTTCGCGAAGGGTTTCGCTCACTGGACAGCAGTTTAGCCGAGGTACTGGCGCGAACAGGAAAATTGCTTCAACCCACATTTTTGCATAAAAAACTCCATGTTAGGTATGACTCATAATACCAGAATTTGGAGTCTCTTGGAATGAAGAGACGTCTCTTGGAATTAAAAGGGTGTGTCTCTTGGAATTTAGTGGGTTGAGATCAGCGAGGGCGCAACAGAAGCATGATGGCCCAACCCACATTGGTGCAGAAGAGAGCTACAGGCTACAGCTGCTTTGGAGTGCTTGATAGTTTGGCCATTAATAGAAATCTGTGAGATGCTTCTGAAAAGTTTTTTTTATAGCTAACTGTGCCATTTTAGCATGACAGATTTTCTAAAATACTCTTATTTAGAATATTTATGTTGAAAAATTATTACATACGGACGGACACCGCATGTGTCTGATTCTGACCATAAATCAGGTGATCTACAGTCAAGATGTATTTCGGTGAGTCTCACCTAAATTTAAAAAAAAAAACTGAAATATATTCTAACTGTAGATCACCGTGATCTACGGTCAGGATCGGCACCGCATGCAGAGATGCATGCGAATTTCTCATTTATTTGAGTGAAGCTATGACACCAAAATATCATATTTATAAATATAAAAAATTTTGGTCTTAGATGTGTTAATACATGAAAAAAATGTTGTCTGCATGCTCATTTGCATTATTGTTATTTGCTTGATGTAGGAATGGGAAATTAAGGTTGGCTTATACTTTTATGTTGAGCAAAAGGTAGTCTAGATATGCCATCTTTTTGTCTTTAGACATGTATGATTGTATGGTTTGTATCATATGACATTATTGGGAATTTCTATGTTGAACGAAATTAAGGTTGTCTTTAGACATGTTTCTGCTCTGCTATTACATTTTCCTCGCTCTTTCAGGTTTTTGATCTTGGTTCCGAAAAATTTGATTTCCGGTCTTCTTGCATGCATGTCGCTTTCTCCTTTTCTTCTAGACAAAATAGGAATTTTTGATTTAACCGTGTGGCCGATGAATTTTTAGTTGTGGTGCATGTAGTTTGGTATATATGATCAATTCGATTTGCTAAATTCAATTAGTGGTTGCTTTACATTGCTTTGGTCCAAGATTACCAATGAAGCTTTTCATCACTGTTTTAAGACTAAGGGTCGGTCTGTTTGGGGCAGCTTATAAGTGCGGGCGGCATTTTGAAAACGCCGCTGTACTGTTTGGTTCGCGCGTTTCGCCAGCTTATCTGAAACTGCGTTTGAGTTTTTACACTAAACGCAGGCCGCGGGTCGACCCTTGAGGTCGGCCCGCGGGCCGCGTTTCAGAATAAGCAGCTTATCCTGAAATGCACAAGCTGTCCCAAACGGACTCTAAATAGAAAAAAATATATATATAAATTTAAGATTTTTATAAGGCAGTGGCCACTCTAATTAGACTTTAGTGAAATTTTATTAATTCTTTAAGTAGCAATCTAAATTCTTTAAGTAGCAATCAACCAAGCTAATTATCATAAGTGGAATCCGGATGCAAGATCTTAACCATATTGAATTTCCACATGGATCTTAGCTTTTGTTAATTACTTTATTCTATCTTTAAGGTAGATTTATGTTTAGTTTTATTTTTTATTTATTTGTCTACTTTTTAATTTCTATATGTTATCCAACCTATGTACTTTCAATAGTTGGTCTTTGATCCCTATTGGTAGATTCACTTATGCTTTATTATTACTTATTCAAGCATTTTCTCTTATGTGATTGCAGTCATAGTGTGGTACACCCCAATCAAACTGTTTGTACAATCGTCAAGGATTGAAATATAAATATTGTTATAAGTTGGCTATTATTAGTTTGGAAAATTTTATTTTATTTTACTAATTCATTTTATTATTTTTTTCTTATTTGATCTATTTAGTAGGTCTCATCATGTTATATGCAATATTGTATTAATGAACGACTGGCTCATTATCAACGATCCGAACGTATTTGCGGAGTTCGTTTTACAGAATGAAATTTCGATTGAAAATTTTTTTGTGAGACAAAATTTTATGCTTGAAAGCTCGCATGCAAAACTTCATCTAATAAATGATCTGATAGCCACTGAAATTTATTTCACACTATTCAAACATTGATAATGAACCAGATGTAGCAGATAGCATGAAATGTCAATCACTAAAATGATATATGGAGTGAACAATAATTTCAGAGCATAAAAACGATAATTTATGAATATTCTCTCATCAAGCTGCATTTTGGTCTAACTTCAGAGTTAGATTGAATTTATCTGCATTTGATTTTCATTTTGCACATTTTATTTTATTGTAGATCCTTGGGGTGAATGAAGGGTTGACCAAAATTGAGGTAAGTATTAGTGAGCAACACCACAACCACTACAACACCTCCCACTCCATTCCGACCACCGTGTCTTTTTGTTGCAGTCCCTCCTACACCAGCTCCCTCTCAGACACGAGCTCTCACACCCAAGCCTATTTTCATTCAGCATCCAACTTTCTCCTCCTATGAGCTGGGCTCCTTGACTCCCACCTCTTTGAGAGTGGGCACCTCCGTTAAGGTATATACTATGTCAGAGGGAGACTGGTAAGTTATCTTTAATATTATAATAAGTTAAATGTTGATTCTTTATATTTTGTGTAATTAATAATTCTTTTTCACGTTCATTTATATCACGCTTTCTGTAACACGCATCAAATAGATCATTTGGAGTATATATGATTGTTTGTAGCTATCCTAGAAACAGATCTCAATTGCGACTTGAGATATGTGGTTCTGATAGTTTGAGGTACGTTCATTTAATTAGAATTATAATATTAATTTTATGTTTATTTAATATACTAATTAACATTGCATAATTTTTAATTTGTAGAGGTCATTCTACTAACAATTAGAGCATCACTAGCAGATCTACTACAGTTTTGAGTTTCGTAGCAGTCATCAGCTGGGTGATACGTTCACTATAGCTTGCAGGAAGGGAAAGCGACCCATCTAGGCGGGGGAGGAGGTCTGGGCTGAGTTGATCAAAGCCTGGGTTTCTCTAGATTATCATAGGAAGAGATAGACGAACCAGAAAAAATTGGGCGACTTAGGGGGCAAGGGCGTTGCTCTCCACATTAGAGGCTTGGTCCCTCACATGGAGCACTGTCGAAGTTTGGTAAGATTATCTAAATATTTAAAAATTCAATGATTAATGTAATTATATGGTACTAAGCATCTGACATCTCTCGGCAGGTCAATGTAAGTAAGATGTAATTATATGGTACTAACCATTTTCTTATGCACACAAACAAAGAGCATTGATATCCCCCCACCTCAGCAAAATTGCATGTTTGGATGCTTTAGGGCCAAAGGACGCACCAACGAGCATCTGACATCTCTCGGCAGGTCAATGTAAGTAAAAGTTTCATTTTATTATATTTTTTACTATTAATATTAAAAAATGATAATTAATCACTTGTT